GTTTTTTTTTTAGATTTTTGTTTCACCCTAGCCGTACATCGCAGTTAACTATCGTATCCTTACGACATGTGGAACTCTGTGCCACCACTTTCAAAGAGGAAATTTACTCGTTAATCTGATTCGTACGCTTTGCATAGCAGTCTGTCAAAATGGTTTTTTGAGAAATACTGAAAGTTTCAAAGAGATCTTAATACTAAAAGTATTCTAAATGTAAAGAATACACCCCGGGGTTACAAAATTACCCCAGGGTGTACGAATAGTATTAACTGCTACACCACAGGTGCGGGGGATGTGTCTTCCCCACCACAGTCTATGTCCAAACATTTCTTGTTTAACATTGGTATGACATTTTTTTTTATCAAAAGAAGAAATCTGAACATGCAGTCACCTATAGATATAGCTCTTACTTCCCTCATGCAATGATAGATTTCTAACACTCCGTATTTTTGTCAGCAGTTTATACTTGTTTTTTTCCTCTTTTGTTCACTCAGGAACGAGAATTTCTGTACAGACAGGCGTGGTCGCGGTGGAGAGTGGAGTTTTCCAGGAGAAAAGCCGCAGACAAAATATGTGGTCAGGATGACAGACATTCTATGTCTCAGGTAGGTCAAAAATCTGTTGTATATTATAAGCTTCTTGCTTCTTATAGTAGTTTTGAAAAGTTTATATCGTACACAATGCATGGTGCAGAAAGTTTCAGCAAATCCCCATTTGATATGATTTAACACTTTGCAGTCACACAGCCAGCAGTACAAAATACCCCATCTGGTCACCCAACCAGGAGAGCAACTGCAACGGATTTCTTGGGTTCAACTGCGCCAGGTGACCAGAACAGATAATTTTCACTGTCGCATTATTGCACCAAGGGACCGCAAAGTCTTAATACAGTTGAGGGTGGAAAAATGTTTCTCCACAGAGGGGCAAAGACTACAATTTTGGCACAAGGTCATCAAATCCCTCTGAAAACAAAAGCCTGAGGTTTCTTCTCTCTAAAGGGCGTTACGTTGGTTGCTTGGACATCGTGGGTGAAAGTCTGCTTTCTACTCTGTTTTTTTTGTGCTATGCTTTTTATTTGAAGATACTTTTGAAGACTTCTCCTTCTTTAGGATGACATAGGGCCGAAGAGATATGCTCCAAGGCTACAGGATTAAATCAGTAACAACAATAACAACTTGTTCTAAGAAGGGGGGGGGGGGGCATTCAAGTAGACTTTCACCCTTTCCTCATCCATGGCAGGCAACTTATTTCTATTGTTTGGCTTGACACCTATATATTTAGAAAAAGAAATGTAGTGTGAGAAGTTGTGCTACTTTCAGGCTCTCACAAACTCACAGTCACTCAGTGTAACCAAATTGTGTTACTTTCAGGTTCTCACATACTCTCAGTCACTCATTGTATCCATTCTCTTTGTATGAATGTTCCAGACCTTCAAGGCATGGCGCAGGCTGACTCGACCTCAGCAGAGAACGCCACGGGGTCTTACAGAGCACAGAGGATCGTTATCGTCTCTGCTTCCTGTGCCAATCTCCCAGTCTCGACATTCGCCTTCCTCTGCATCCTCATCGTCATCAGGCTCCTATTCAGCAGCAGAGCAAAGTTTTGGCTACAGAGGAGGGAAAAGATAACAGCGAAAGTAGAGTCTAATATTCCCCTCTCCCCGTCCCCACCCTCCATCTTCACACCAAATGGCGATCACAGCTGACTGGGGAGATCTGTTAATTCTGCTGGTATCATACTGAACTACGGAGCAGTTGGCCCTGATTTGAATCCGAGACTGGGCGTTCTTGAACTTGGGTAGTTTTGTGGAGTGTTCAAGGCTCTCAACCCATTTGGCTCAGTCCTGTTGGAGACGGACATTAAATCTGGAGGTCCCGCCTCCCAAATAATCTGTTGATAGTGGCGGTAAACCCTTACACTTTTACAGTGCGTTGTTTCCTCAGACCTGAGAGATATAACTGTCACTCCACTGTAACCTCCACGTTGACCCTGAATATTGCACACAGGTCAAACTGTAGCCTACAAAATGAGGGGCCTAGCTTTACTTTTACCAAGTTGAAAACATGTTGGGGATGTTGTATTAGGGCTGAATGTTATTGTTATTGGTTCGGACAGACTACTTAGTGCCTACCATGTCCTTGCACTGTCTCATAGAGAGCCTCATTTATTTATTGCTGGCCTTATAAGTAGCCTATTTCATCAGGGTCATAACACAATACCTTAGGTCATATTTTTGTAGTTTCAAGAAAATAACAACCCCACTGCCTCCCAATCCCCACCCAAAGAAAACGAAATACTGCTTACCTAAATCAACCTTATGAATATGATGACTTGAGCAAAATGAAAATGTCTCCCAAATTGGGCTTATTTAATACCCGAAACAAAATACAGGTAGGCCTACATCAAAGATACAAAACAAAGTGACTGCCACCATATCAAAAACGAGAAAACTAAAATAAAGGTGACTTTGGCAACTGTGTTATGTTCATGACAAGTTGTTCTGAGCAGTGTGAACTGTCTCATTGGCCATTAGATGAAAGAAAAATATGTTCTCATTGAGTATTGTACTAGATATGTTAACTTGCCTGTCTGAAACCTTTGTTGCTATGTCCTGTGTAAATCTCAACGAGAGAGAAATGTTGGGCCTTAAATAATATACCATTTTCCCTACTTTACATTGTGTATATATATATACGTTGGTGTACTGGTACACAAAAAAGACGTGTACTTTTTGTATCACCAGTAATATGTGCCAAAAGTACTTTACAATTGTCTCAGCTTGTACTTGTAGAAAGATTTTGAGGCGTTTATAAGCATATCTGTGATATCTGCCTCGTAAATAACCTTACAGTGTTGAATAAGGCTCTACACCCGTACCTTACCTATCTGTGATATAACTACTGTATATTTATTACCTTATTTGTAACTACCGTCATCATTTCAAGTACTTCCACACTTTATATTAATAATGTATAATTTGCCAAAAAGTATAATTGGACACATCAGTCTATAGGTTTATGCATACGTAGGGCTATCCTGCATATTGCCATTGTTCCAATTTTAGTGTCAGAATCATCATTTGGATCATCATTATTTGGTCATTCCTTATGATCGGTCGACGAAATTCTGTGCTACTATCTGTATTAATGGTACATGTCTATATTGATGGCTGGATGTAAAACTCCAAAGCATGCCATTTGACTATTTGGCGTTTGTTAGGGTCTTGCATCCAGTCACCAATATTATGATGAAAGGTAGTGAATCAAATCTTGTCCAAGGGAAGGGGGCGGCAGAATTATCATTTTGATACCAAGATATGAACATTGCAAACTGTAGGATAGCATTTCTGTGCTTCTAAGTATCTGAGTAAATGTGTGTGGCTCTGAGAAAACCCTTCACAAGGTGCAAATTTTCAAAATTGACTTTTTTGCATGTTTGAAAGACACATCTCTCCCGAGCATTTTGCACATAATTGGAGTGTAATTGGAGCATTCTGTGAAAAGTTATGGCATTTTAAAATGCGCAGGGGTCCGAAGGTGAAGATTTGAGAAAACGGGGTTGAATGTTTTGTTTACTTTGGGAACAAATTACAATTAAAATACTTCGCAGAGCAGAATGAAGAACATAAATTCATTAAGAAACAGTTCGTACTTGGTTTAAATGGTAAGAAATTGAACAGAAGAATTTTAAACGGCACTAATAAAAAATACCTTTTCAGAAGTGAAACTAGAAGATGAGCAAATTTTGTAACTCCTATTTGTGATGTTTAAATATTTATGTGCTCTGGGTTTTCTGAAATGAAACCACAACAATAATATTCTCTTTCTTTTGGTATTTAATAATTGGAGGTTCCCATGGAAAGAAAGTGTTCATCCGATTGAGTAATGATTCCCTCTGTTTGTCTAGGAATTCAGCATAATTCGGTGAAGATATGTCTCAAAAGTTCTTTAAAATTATTTAGAATAATTTTTGAGCAAATTTCTTGAAACATGTATAGCAAAAATGGTTCAAAATAAAATTCTGCACCATCTGATGGGTTTTCTCTGAAACGTGTACAAAAAATGAGTGAATCATAGTTGTCAGTAGGATATAGCATGTCTTTTGGATTGTAAGCTTTATAAATTATTATACTTGGTGAACGCTGCAGAAAGTTTCTGTGTCAAATCCCGTTTGATATGTTTTGATACACTGAGAGGTGGCCTTGCACGCTATATCAAACTGACCTCTGCTTTTCTTTATCAAATTTAATCTGAAGCGAAAGTGAATTTGTGTTGCATTCCGCTCATGGCACTTGAACAAAAGATCTGACTCTGCAAATTGTGAACAAGAAAATCATACGAGTTTGATTTTAGGAAGATTTCATCAAATGCTGTCGAAATGGTAGCTTTCGCCTCTTCATGAAAGAAAATCGGGCCTATGTCACATTCAGTGGACATTTGATGAAACTTTCTGCAATGTGCACTGAGTACAGAGAGCAGAGAGATGAGTGCCTTACGATATAAAAGGATAGCAAAAAAAGCAATCAAGCCCCTGGCACTGCTTTTCATAGTGTTCTCTATGTGTGTCAACAAGGCGCGGTGTGGAATGGAAATGGAACATTAACGGGGCTCACTTGCTCTACAGCTTCCAGCGTTCTCTATGCCTTCAGCATTGTGTTATACCTGTTTGTACTCAGTCATAGTGGCTGCTCCCGTACCAAGACCCCAAGGAAAAAAAACAATCAGTCACAATCTTAAAATGATTGAGTTATTGCCTTTTTGCATGTGCAGAACTTCCAAAGTTTACCCTGAAATCTGTCAAACTCTACCGGGTTGAGTCCTGAGTAAGAGAGAATTTTTAACACTTTGCCATCATATTTTGAGGAAAGTCCAAAGAAACTGGATGGTAAACATCGCCAATCGACGAGATGAGGCGGCAAAGAGTTAAAGGAGCATACAACAATAATACATACAAGATAAAAGCAGACCTTCAGTGTGCGTTGACTGTAGAATTGATTTTCTCTAACCTGACCAGAAAAATTATAGTTTCGAGAAAATCGAATTCTGAAGTTTCTGCACACAATAGTTCTACTTTGGTCATTTTTTTCTTCTTCTGTTTTCTCTATTTAAAAAACTCCAACAGTTTCTTACTCATGGCAGAGCCCATTACTTGTTGAGTTAAGTTTTCTAGAGGAAACTATGATGGGTTGTGCACATGATAATAAGCAACAGTTTTAGAGTTTCAAGTTTGAGACTTAAATTTGAGCCTTTATCCATTGCGGTTGACATAATAATGTTTCTACAACGAAAAAAATATGGTAGCTAACTTAGTTTGGTGCAAAGACGAGTTTGTCATTTGTTACGTTGGTAATTTAGAATTCCATGTACAGATCTGTTATTTTAAAAAAGATTTTAATGAAGAACATTCTGGTTACATTTTTTCAAAGTTCATCCTGTTAAGTGAATGTTTATTTCTGTATTTGGACTATACACGTACCATAATTTGATGTCACAGTCATAACATAACTGTCAATAAACGATCACAGTGCTTACAGAAGTCGATATTATCTTATCACTACAATAAAAGGGAAAATGTCCCAGATGTTGGATTTTTAGTACTGGTAGAAAGTGGAAAGCATTGTTCTGTTGAGGAAATGAGACAAGTGACAGTTACAGTTACAGGCATGTTTATCACATCAATTGGGCAATATGCTTAGTTTTAGTTTTGGTAAGAGTTTTACGGCACTTGAAACACAATAAGGTCATATAAGTGCCAAAGAATAGATATTTGTGTTACAAGAAAGTAACTTACACAAAAAAAGTAAAAGGAGGAGAGATAAGGACGATAGATGTATGATAGTATTGGTAGGAAAGAAGGAGCAAAACCACATCAGAGCACCCGCCAACCACCACAAGCAATAAGTAAAAGCCAGAGAAAAAATGACAGAAGCATCTAGGCATCTATGTTATGACTGTGATGATGATATTAGGTTGTGACTGTGTTGTACAGGTACTGTTATTGTATAGCTGGGGGACTTAGGACGCCCGTATATTTGTTTGTTTTGAAATTGAGTAAACTTTGGTATATATTTGTGTACTCCTTGATCTTGGTTTTTCTCATTTGCCTAAATGAATTCTAGATACGTGCATTCTTAATCTAAAATTTAAGGTTAAAAACATATGTGTGATGAGCTGACAAAATGAGTTACTTCTCAGATTTTAGCCCCTTGGAAATATTTGAGGCAAGTTAATATGTGGAGTTTGTACAATTAATAAGCATGAAATAATAAAAGACATGAAGAAATAATAAAAGGCTTGAAGAAAATGGCATCAATAAAAAATCTGAAAATTTGACCCAGGTGTCTATTTTCGGCCAATATCTTCATTTGTTGATTGCGAGAAGTAACTCATCTTGTCAGCACGCCTCACATATTGAATGTAGGTGGTTGGTGGGTGCCTTGGAGTGGTTTGGTCCTTCTTTCCTATCTAACATCTATCATCTTTATCACTCCTCCAACTATAAATGTTTTTTTATCACTCTAAAGTAACACCAGTCATATTCAGCACTGATAATATGACCTTTTTGTATTAAAAGTACAGCAAAACTTTTACTAAAACTTAACTAAAACAAAAATATAGAGAACACCTTTACATTGTGAAATGCTTGGGCAAACAAGCAATCATTAGCAATATTCCTCACAGTGACCAAATTGCCCTCTACACGTGTCAACGAGATATTGAGAGGGATGTAATAAGAGCTTCGGATCATTACCTGCGCTAGTTTTTTATATCATAAATCGTTCTTTCTGTTGCTTGTTGGCCTTTCCTTCTAATTGTCTAGCCAGTCCAGAGTTCAGAAAACAATCTATGAGTTCTTCTTGAATCAACAATTCCAAAACAATGTTTTGTAAAACAAACACATATAAATACATAGTGATGTAAAGAATATATTGCACAACAAAATTTTGTCAGATAGCAACATATAATGTAGTTTAATGCATAATGCATACAATAAATACATGGATTTTCTTTTGAATATATGAAAAGATATTAGATTTGAGCTCTCTATTCCCAGATTGGAATCAACAAATATACTATTACTATTATATATACAATACATAGATATATATTTATATACATATATATCTCTCTTCTTCTCAATTGTCACAGATGATGGGCCTCTCTTAGGAAGTTCCTATATTGATGGTGTTATGCTCTAATCAAGTAACTGGTTTCTTTACAA